AAAAAAAAACGCCACATTCCTAGAAGGAAGGTGTTGAGAGATCTTGGTAGCATTCAATGCAGCCAACCCTGAGCGCGTTCGAAAACATGGATTATGATGATTTTATCCCCGACAACTCCACGAATCAAAAGTAAATAACATTCATTAAAACGGAGAGAAAAAGCTGCATCGAATACCTCCGAGACCAAAACTGCTCGCCCTTTGATGTTCTACCAGGTTTTAGTTGATCAATAGAAATTAACAGAAAAATCAAGAATTCTATTAAGAAAAACATGATGAGTAATGGAAAGTAGAAAAAAAATTGTTTTGCATTCTGTAATTGCTCTATCCGTATGTTACTTGGACTTCTGTGAGTGACTGGTACAAAGTTTTAGGAAAATAGTGAAACGACTATGGCAAAAACCATGAGTCGTATTCCCTGATAATTCTAAAGTGCTGGCTGATTGTGCTGCATCGATTTTATGATCTTTAGAAAGAGGATGAAATGCTGCATTGTATGCGCCACGATCTTTCGAAAACCTTCGTTCTACGTAATGTGGCGTTCATTTGAGAAAAACCATTATTTTCGGAACGACATAACGAACCATTATTTTCGGAACGTCATACTTTTGATTCTGGCAACTGACATCAAAACCTTTTCTTGACTGCTTCACATGAAAAAAATTTATGGCGGTGATATGTCAACAAAAATTTTCAATCAAATCCTCTGAAAAGACGAGATTTATTTTTTTTTTCTAAATAAGTATTATGAGCTTTCGTCGATGTTGAAAGAGACTACGATTTTCAAGACTTGTTGCAAGATTTATGCACCAATTGGTTATTAATCGATTTTTCTAAAGGCTGAGATTCATGAGAGTACATCTGATAGAATCAACCTCTAATAATCATGTGAGCGATCATTACTGAATTTGTCTGAGATTTCAATAAAATAAATGTAAAAACCGCAAAGTGTAAGCAACCAGAAAGTATAAGCTGACTTGATTTTAGGCTTCAGCCAATCAAGGCCTTACTGTAGAAGAACTCAAAAGGAAAGTTCCGCTTTGAGAATTCGCCTCCAGAGGTACTCAGTTTCGATAGCAGTTCTCGAAAAATAAAGTACTCTTGACAGAATGCCTCCAGGTCTCGGCTGCATTTTGCAGGTGGGCGCCATAGCCAACGGCAATCTGGGTAGAGCCAGACGTTGTCACTATACCAGTGGCTAAGGAAGATGGGCGGAGTATCAGAATATCATCGTGCACACCCAAGTACTGCTTCGGGATGTCATTTTGGCTAAATTCGTACTCAAGTTGATG